CTCTGATCATAACCCACGTTCTTTTTGTGAATGGAAAATATTTTATTAGCTGAGATAAATTTTGATACTAATTTTTCTTGAAAGTAATACAAAAAGTTTTTATTTATAGGACTTTTTTGTTGGTAAACACAGACTTTATTATTTTTTAACTTATTATTCTCCGCCAGTACTTTTTTTCGTTAACATTATATAACCCAAACTCAAAATTTTACCTACATTAATCACTGGTTCCTTCATCCATCATTCTTTTAATGAGTTTGGGCGTTCTCAGAATTAAAATTATAGGTTTGGATTTCTTGTTTTGTTGAAATATTTAGAAGAATGGCAGTTTTTTGGCCTAAAGCAGAATAAACTATATTGTGAAAAATGGTTTATATTATATTTTCACTCATATGAAGCATTTAAACTTAAACTGATTTTTTATCCGATATTTATAAAATAATATATTTCGCAAAAGTTCCTAAAAGTTCGGTACATGCTAGTAGAATTCCTGTTCCAGACAAAGGGTTGCCACCCAAGAGAAAAACTACAACCCCCTCCAAGGTATACCGATCTCGTAACACTTATTTTTATAATATCAGCAGGAATCTGGGCGCACAGTATATTAGCTGGACTAATAGGTTACCCAAATATCTAGTAATTACACCTCATAGTTTATGAATTATCGCTTGTCAAATATCTTTAATTTCGACATTGACTCACTGACAGATCGGTGTAGATGTGTGACAAACTTCAAATTTCAAATTTTCGGTAACTTTAAGCTTATAATGGAAGGAAAAAAATGAAAAATCTCGAAATATCTTTATGGATCAAAAGTTAGCTTGGTAATCGACTTTCCGGCGACGGTAATACGGGGACCGGTTATAGGATTGTTTAGAAAATTTGGATTTTTATATAAAGACACCTGTTCCATCCATCTAAAATATTATCAGTGTAACAGTGTTGCCGGATCATTTGAAAAGTGGTAGCATCATTGTTATTTTAAATAGAACACCCAGTATATTATTACATTTTTGGAAACTACTCTCATATTTCATAATTTTTTTATTATATTAACATATACCTATATTCTTATAGTTTTCGAGAAAAATAAAATATGTATAAAATTGACAACATGATTTTGAATAAGCAATGGTAAAATCGTGAATTGAACATTTTTAAAGTTGATATTTAGGTTATAACGAAAGTCGGAATCACAAGTCGTTAGAAAACTAGAATTAATCCACTTCATATTATCTGACTTTATACGATTATTCAAAGTTTATGAATTATTGCTAGTCAAACTTCTTTAATATTATTTTAAATGATATATTACCCGAGAAAAAAAAGGAGGATAACCTACAAAAAGAAATGAGATCCTATCAAAATCAGAATTTTTACATTCTAAAATAACTAATAAACGGAATATATTACTGCAAAATAAATACCCATCCAAAACATAGAATGTAAAAAAAATGGCAAGTCTCGCAACACAATTCTTCCACTATAAAAAGTTGTGAGATCTCATGTAAAACCAAGTCAGTTTATTTTATTCAATCTCTCTTTAAGAGAGAGCACCTATTCAACAATTTTGTTAGTACCAATATTAGTCTGTAAAAATTATGATGATATATTTCTGTAATAATTATAATGACTTGGCAATTGCACGATATGATATTCTACTCTAATTAAAAAACTTTATTTTTAAGGCTACTGTTTAGATTTACTTAGTAATCGAGTTGGTAGATTATTCTTTTATAATTCTGGTGCTGTGCAATTGCCAAGTCATTATAATTATTAAAGAAATAAAGATGACTAATATTGATAGTAACAAATGATGACAAAATTGTAGAATAGGTGCTTAAACAGAGACTAAATAAAATAAATTGACTTGGTTTTACATGAGATCTCACAACTTTTCATAGTGGAAGAATTGTGTTGCGGGACTTGGCATTTTTTTACATTCTATGTTTCGGATGGGATTTTAATTTTCGGTAATATATTCCGTTTATTAGTTATTTTATTTCAAAAAATATTTATTGTTTTTTATTGTTACACTTTGAATTTATACGTTATTTTTAATTGTCTTTTATGTGGGTTATTAACTAGTGATGGGAAAAACCGATTAATTCCAATAATCGAGTACTCAAGTTTGGAGCGATTGCGATAACAGAGCGATCGCTCGAGCGAAATATCGCTCGTATTTAAAAATACGGTTTTTCGCCCGTCGCTTGTTGTAAGTACTCGTTCACTCCAAGCGCCAAGCAGTAAGTTGCGTGCGCAGGGCCCATATTCTTTCGGTGATGAATGGCAAGTAGCAAGCGACGAGCGATTCGCTTGATTTAGTTTATTTCAAAGCATTGTTGATGTAGGTCGTAACATTTTGTCTCTCAGATACGCAACGGACAAATATATATACGGCGTCGTATAAATTTGTTACCTGCAATGTATGTAGATAATGCGCTCGGCTTTTTATCGAGTATGTCACATTAAAATCGGATCTTAATTTATTTCATTCTAGGATCGCCTGCGTTCGTCGCTCGTAACTCGTTCATAATCGAGCAATGTCGGTTATTTCAATAATCGAGTACTCGGGCGAATTTTCGCTCGAGTTATCCCATCACTATTATTAACCTGTTGCGCAATAAACAATAATAAATTATTGTTTATTGCGTATTTTAATACGGTAATTTGTTTGAAATACTATTTCCCGAGTCTTTTTATTTAATGGTTTAAAAGATTTTAAGTTATTAGGCTAAACCTCAGAGGAATGACACCTTACACAATTCAAAATTGCAGTTGAGCGTTTCCAACGCGAGCTCGTTGGCGCTGCATAAATAATCCAACTTCCGAAAGCAAAAGTAGTCTGGCATCGATTTTCCCGCGCAGCCGGCCGGGGCCCGGGCGAAAGGAAACCTCGCTTCGTTTTCCTCGACGATCACCTGACAGTTTCAGCGCCTGCTATAATGTTCGCTTTTCGCAATAAAATCTATACGCGATCGGCCCAAAGCTGCTGCACCTTGCCGGCTAATGGCTGGCTTTAAAACTTCGCTAACTTGATGGCTTTAGAGAATCTTGGAGAGTAAATTTGAAATATTCATTTCCTGTGCAATTTTTTCCCATTTCACATGGAACGTATCGTCTGACCCCGGATCATATATATTTACGTAGATGCGTAAACGCCATACGATTAGCAATAAAAACGATGTCTTCAACATTACGACATGCCATTTTCAAAACTTTATTGCATTTATGAAACGTTCGTCTTGTTTCGTTCGTTCGTTCGTTCTCGTTCGTTCTCGTTTGTTCGGTTTGTCTTTCTTGAGGACCTTACTTTGCGCATGTGCATTAAAAGTTGCACGTTTTTCCAAAGTAATCACATTTTTATACGGCTTAGAAAGTACCAATTATACATTGTTATGGAATCCAACTTTTCATTGTCATATTGTCATAATCTTATGTCATAATCTAATTTCCATTGTGTAAAGGTTCTCACAGTGTGCAAAAGCCTCCATAACAACAACTCAAGAGTGTCACCATCATGGATCACTGAGCGATCCCTTCCTAACAAACACAGGAGTTAGGCAGGATTACCCTGTCTAGTCACTTATGCAGAATGCAAGAAAATCGCATACCAAAATCTCTGCTTTACGGTGAGCTTGTACGGTAAGAGGAGGTCGGGTGGACAACTCGAAAGGTACAAGAACATGCAGAATGAATGGGAAGAACCAGCTCACAATAGAACGGAATGGAGAAAAGTTGTAAACTCAGTTAACAGTGTAGCATTTTCATTTTCCAAATGCTACTTTGTTTTATTATAGACGGTTTTTTTATTATTGTATCGATATTCTTTTTACATTTCGACAACACTTAAATTTCGGAACGCTCTCTATCGAAAATATTGGATCGTACCCTGGTGTATCGACAAGACGGGAAACGTCAAAATCGTCATCTCGGATTTGGCCGTTGCCGAGGTCACCGTGCCATTTTTTGAGAATTAAATTTATTTGGTTTTTTTATATAGTATTTTTCACAATATGGGAAAATATTGTGATTTTGTTATCCTATAGATCAAGGTTTCTTAAACTTTTTGCAGTCACGGACCACTTTCGCAATTTGTACAATTCCACGGACCCCTATCAGAAATAATAGAGGAAAATAAAAAAAAAACTTATTTACATAAAAAGAAAACGTTTATTAGTAATAAATATTACACGTACACTAAGTAGTGAGAAGGATACTGCTATTTAGCCTTAACGAGAACGCTGAATTGTGGGGCTATCTTCGACAAGGCAAGGCGCGTTGACATCTGCGACGTTCAATCGGTTGCCACTTTTTGTTTTTATTGAGACCAGAACCGAGAACCCTGCCTCGGCAAAGGTACGTAGTAGCAAATGGTATCAGAACGGACATAGCTCGCTTGACAAGAAGAGGGTAAGCTTGACTTAAAGAACACCAAAACTCGCCAAGATCTTTTGCATGAAATTCAGCTTTCAAAACTTCTTTTTCTCAAAAGATCTCATGTCAATTCAGTAATCTTTAATGAGATCTTCATCGCTGATATTATCCGTGTCGATTATAAATGGACCCTGCACCCCGTTTCATTTTCAAACGATTCTAAGTTAATCTATTATATAATCTATAATCTAAGTTAAAGTAGCCTTCAAAAGAAGTTTGCAATGTATCAAAAAGCCTAGACACCTCTTTCTGTAGCATTTTTTATATCGTGTTGCCGTCACCTTGTGCTATTAACTCTTCAAACATCGGAAAATTTGCAAAGTCACCAGATTCTCCTTTTTCAAAGTGGCAGTTTACATATGAAACCTCTCAACCGTTCAGACGCATCCACGATAGTCACCGCAGAGCCCTGAAGTGACAGGTTAATCTCATTCATTGAGTAAATATATCTGCCAAATACGCTAGCCCCCGTACAAAATATTCGCTCTCAAGATATTCAGACAGTGAATTTCCTTTATCTTTTAGAAAAAGTAACACTTCTGTCCTCAACTCGAACAATCGCTTTAAGACCTGTCCCATTGACAGCCAACAAACTTCTGTGTAGTAAAGCAGTACTTCATGTTCTGACCCCATTTCTTGACAAAGTCTTTTAAATGGCGGTGGTTTAAGGCTCCTCTGATGAAGTTAATTATTTTGATACATGTAGACATAACTTCCTTCAGAAATGGAGGTAAAGTCCGTGAAGCCAAGGCATGTCGATGTAAGACACAATGAGTTATTATGACATGAGGGATCCCTTTCTTGACCAAAGCCGCGAAACCAGACGTATTACCAAGCATTGCGGGAGCTCCATCGGTGCAGATACCACCAAGTTTAGTCTTCCAGTCTGTATTTTGTTCGTTGAAAACCCTTTTTGTCATTTCAAAAACATCTGAAGCCTTTGCAGTCTCCAAAAGTGAATTGCAAAAAAGAAAATCTTCTTTAATACTACATGTGTCTTGTTGTACGTAACGGACAAATACAAAGAGTTGGTTACATTGTGACACATCGGTGCTTTCATCCAATTGAATGCTGAATGGAAACGGTGAAGCAATTAATTCTTCAACAACTTGTAAAACATTTGACGACATTTCAACAATTCTAGAATGAATAACATCTTTTGATATGGGGACAGCTTCAACTTTGTTTTTTTGATCCTTACGCGCATCGCGTAGTGTTTAGTAATTAAATACCTACAGAATTCGTCGCCCTACATTATTTCTTTTCTTAATAAATATATTTACAGTTAACTGACGTAATGCAGACCGCGGACCCCTGGTACATACGCTATGGACTCCTAAGGGGTCCGTGGACCACACGTTAAGAAACCCTGCTATAGATGGTTGAAGGTCCCATATAGATTTTGATTGCTTAGATTTTAAAGGATTTATAGTTTTGGTAAGATTTTCTTTAACGTTCCTTTTGTGAGAAAAAATCTTCACATGCCTTTCTTTTAGATTCTAGTTTTTTTTATGAGAAATTATTGATTGTGTGCCGTCACAATGAGGTAAATTAATCTCTTCGTAAATTTTTCAAGTTTTTTTTAAATGTAAGGTTAACTTATACCGTACATTTCTTTTCAGGTTTTTCTCAGCATTTTTCTTTGGATTTTTCTGCAAGTAGTTCTAGACATTTTTCTAGATGTTTTTCTACAGTTTTTCTACACTTGTGTCTAGAAGTTTTTCGCCAAGTTTTTCAACAAGTTTTCCTTATGAGTCTTCAGTCACCGAAGTAATCAGTAGCAGCCTGTTCGGTTAAATTTCAGCCCTGCACACCTCTGAGAAAAAGTTGGATGCTGTGATGTTTTTGTATTATTAAGAAGATTCTTTTTTAGTATAATTTGGTATACAAGGCCAGTGTATTTTTTTATAGTAAACTAAAATTTTATTAATTTAATTTTAAATAATCATTAGTGTGAAGAAATTAACTATTCTTTTTCAAACATTTTACATTTAACTGGTTAAGTACTTGCCTTCGGCATTACTTACAAACTATCAGCATCTTTTTGAAATAAGTGGCGCCCTTTGGTATGCAGTGTAAGCAGGTGGGTATCGTATTTTTAGCCAAGTGCAGAAGCAAAAACTTGTTCCCACCGCCTCCGATATAAGAGTAGCCGTTCGCAATATTTTGACTTAAATTTTCATTAAAAGGAAAGTTTTTGTCACAACAGCGACAATCAAAAAGTAAAGAGACAACAAAGCAATGAGATTTTTGAATGTCCGGAGTGCAGTAGACAGATAACATGAAATCAGAATCACATATCGGGCTTTTCAGTCACAGAAAAGCTCATGAAAGAAAACGCCTTGCATGACCATCTTCTGATGCGTGGCAAATACTCGTCAGCGAGTAATGACAGTGTGTATGTATATGTATATAATTTGATTTTTTGTAACAGTAAGCATTCGATTTATTGTTCAAAGATAAATATGCATTTTACAAATAAAATGTTTAAAATTAATATCCAAATTTGGCGCATGGATGTTTGCGACAGTTTCCATAGTGATTTCCGTATCCACGTAAAGGATCCTGACAACGTTGATAATCCATCATGAACGTAGCTAGGTTTTGAGTTAGGATGGGGTAAAAAAAAGTTAAATCTGAGAAAATGAATACCAAAATCTGTAAAGTAACTTTATTTCAAAAGTAATCTGCGAGAGCTCTAGCTAAATCATGACAATATTTTGATTTATTGAACCAATCTGCTTTTTAATTACAAGATTTTGGCTATGATTATTTTGGAGGTGTAATAAATCATAAATTCAAGGGAGTTAGTTCGGACAAGCCGATTTTGAGTAATTTGAAAAAAATTGAATCGATTTTTAAATTGAAACTGAATAGGTAACAATCAAACACCAGTCAAAAACCGACATACCTTAAGTTGTCAACATCATTTTCAAACGTAACTTAATTTAAATAAAATTTTAATATTCAGTACTATTTACAATTTATTCTTATACCAAGTGAGTATTATAAAATGGTACTACGCGTGAAATAGCTTAGACAGTATAACTGACGTGTTTCGGTTTATTTCTCCCGAATATTAAGATTAAATTACTTTTGACAATGACAATATATCATAGTTTGTAAGCCTAAGGTATGCCAGATTTTGACTGGTGTTTGATTGTCACCTGTTCGGTTTTAATTTTTTAATTTAAAAATAGATACAATATTTTTTAAATTATTCAAAAGCGGCTGGTACCATATGGAGCGTCTTTTTCAATGATGTTTACCTTTTATATACAGCTACAGACAATAAATCGAGTATCTTTGTCAATATGGTCTTTATTTCTAATTTACTAAATAACACGACAACAGAAAAATGGTAGTGCGATGCACTCCCCCTTAAACACCAAGCAATACTAAGTTTTTGTAAGCTTTTCGGCTGCGCTGTGGGCCTACGTGACTTCTGCCTTCTGCCAGCGACGCGCTCCCCGCCGGCGGCGATCAAGGTCCTGCGCTAAGGCCTTGTACGCATCGTACGTCGTACGGCTTTCAAAAACCCAACATGCCGCCCCCCTTGAAAGCTTGTCTTTCAAAAACCTTAACCCTAATTCCTAAAATCTATTTTAAACACTAAATCCTTAATGTTCCTAAAATTCTTATTAATTACTGCCTTCAAATGGTAGAACACATACACGAGAAGTAGACCTCTTTATTAAACCCCTAGCGGTTTTAAGCGACACAACACGACATATCCCGTCACTACCCGTGTGTAACTCCACTACTCGTCCTAACTGCCATTTCATGGGCGGAGTGTTATCTTCTTTCACCAACACCATGTCATTAATTTTTATAGAGTCCGCTCTTATTCGCCACTTAGATCGCTGTTGCAAGTTACCCAAATACTCCGTTTGCCACCGTTTCCAAAAACTTTGGATAAACTGAGTCAATAACTGATACCTTTGTAAGCGATTTGGATTATGACCTTTTATATCTTCTTGAGGCAGAGCAGAGGGTGAGCTACCCATTAAAAAATGACCTGGCGTTAAAATTTCCAAATCATCCGCAGATTCACTTACAGGAGTAATTGGCCGGGAATTCAGACATGCCTCCACTTGGGTTATCACTGTATACAACTCTTCAAACGTCAACTTCTGATCATTTAAAACCCTCTTTAGATGGTACTTTGCGGATTTCACCGCAGACTCCCACAAACCCCCAAAGTGCGGCGAACGTGGTGGAATGAAATGCCATTTTATAAATGAATTTGTAAAGTACTGTGAGAAAACCTCCTGGTTACCCTTATCCTGTAAAAATCGACTAAGTTCCGTAAGTTCATTATTAGCCCCTATAAAATTTGTCGCATTGTCGGAGTACACATTCCTACAAAGTCCCCTACGTGCGATGAACCTCTTAAAGCAGTTAAGAAAAGCTTGGGTCGTTAGATCAACGACCAATTCTAGGTGGACCGCCTTAGTCGCGAAGCATATAAAGACGCATAAATACGCCTTGGTAATAACAGGTTTTCTAACTGTGCCTGATTTAACAAAAAATGGCCCTGCGTAATCAACCCCACAATTTTCGAATGGCCGACTTGGAACAATACGACTGCTTGGTAACTCCCCCATGTATTGCCTAAAATCCTTTGGTTTTGCCCTAAAACATACAATACAACGCGATAAAACACTTCTTATTGTTTGACGACCTAATATGGGCCAGTATTTGAGACGCATTACTGCTAAAAGCGCCTGCGGACCTGCATGTAAATGCTTGTAGTGCTCACATAGAATGATTAACCGCGTGACGTCGTGTTTATTTGGAAGTATTACCGGAAACCGCTGATTATAACTAAGATTAGCCTTGGCTAGCCGACCTCCTACCCTTAATAGCCCATCCTTGTCCAAAAACGGATTAAGAGACAAAATTCTACTTCGTCTATCCAGCCCGCATCCCCCTTCTATGGCCTTAATTTCAGCACCAAAAACTTCACGTTGAACTAATGCGATTACCACTGTCCATGCTTTATCAAGCTCCTGTACCGTTAATGGACCTCTTCTAGGTGGTTCCCCTCTTTTAGAAGCCCTGCAATTTTGCATAAATCTTAAACAATAAGAGAATGTTCGAAGTAATTTATTGAAATTCGAGAACCTTCTAAGCACCTTATTAAGATCCGTCACGATATATGAATGTTTTATGATCTTCTGCTCAGGAATGACATCAACACTAGGAATATGAGTTTGAGGAAAGTAATTCTCTTCGCGAGATAACCAGAATGGGCCTTCCCACCATAATAAATTTTCACTTAAGCTGTCACAGTCAGTACCCCTGGAGACCAAATCCGCCGGATTTTGCTCTGATGGTACATGACCCCATTGGTTGCCTCCGCTGAGGGTTTGAATCTCCGCGACCCTATTTGCCACGAATGTTGTCCAAGTCGAAGGTTCCCTTGACAACCAAGACAGCACAATGGACGAATCCGACCAATACCTTATTTGAGACGGATTTATATCGATCGCTTGTAAAACTGCCTTAACCAACTTAGCCAACAAAAGGGCACCACATAATTCTAATCTGGGAAGAGATATTACTTTAAGTGGAGCAACCCGTGATTTCGAACATAACAACCTTACGTGACAATCTCCCTTCTGGTCTACTGATCTCACAAAAATACAAGCCCCGTAAGCCTTCTGCGAAGCGTCGCAGAAACCATGTATCTGAAAATCCCTAGACCCTGTGCATATAACCTGCCGTTCTATTTGAAACACCTTTAGTTTCTGAAATTCCTCTCTCAAATTTAACCATGGAACTAGAACACCTTGCGGAACTCCTCGTCCCAACCTACCTTTTCCTTCCATAATAGTTGAAGTACAAGTTTAGCTTTAATAATAACAGGAGCCAACAGTCCCAAAGGATCGAATATCTGGGATATCAATGACAAAATTATGCGTTTGGTTACCTTATTGTCCAATAAAACACCATAATCTTCAGGACAATCGTAGTGCAAAGTATCTAGGTGTGGATTCCATCTGATACCTAGTGTTTTCGAAGTGCTATCTCCTGATATATAATGCTCCACATTTGGCTCATCGCAGGTTAACAGAGTTTCTGGTTTATTAGAACTCCATTTTCTCAGGATAAAACCACCCGAAGCTAACACCTGACTGATCCCTTTCTTAATCTCTCGGGCTTCTTCAACTGTATCTGCCCCTGTCAAGAGATCATCCATGTAAAAGTCCTTCATGATTGCCCTTCCTACTTTATCATCCTCACACTCCGAGAGTTGTTGCAAACATTTTACTGCCAAATATCCTGAACATGCCATCCCATAAGTAATTGTGTTTAACTTAAAATGTCCGATGGGTTCATCCGCGTTAAATCTCCATAAAATTCTTTGCAGATCCTGATCCTCCTCCGCAACCCAAACCTGCCTAAACATTTTCTCCACATCAGCTGTTATGATTACTGCATATTTCCTAAGACGTACTAGTATATCAAAAATATCATCTTGCAGCTTTGGACCAACCATTAGCTGATTATTTAAAGACACTCCAGTGTTAGTTGGTGCGCTGGCATCAAAAACAACTCTTAGCTTGGTGGTCAGTGATGTTTTCTTAATAACCGCGTGATGTGGAAGATAATACGCCACCGGTTCATTCATTTCCTTATCCGAATATACTCTAGACATATGGCCCAATGAAAGATATTCTCTTATGAATGCGTGATACATTTCCTTCAATTCATTGTCCCTTTCTAATTTTTTCTCCAATGAAGAAAACCTTTTTATCGCCAGATTGACTGAATTGCCTAACTCTGGTACCCCGACACATATTGGCAACTTGACAACGAATCTGCCATCTTCGCTTCGTTTCGTCGTTTCCGCGAAAAATCTTTCACATTCTTCTTCTTCCCTTGTTAGTCGTTTCTCATAACCTATTTCTTCTAGAGCCCAAAATTTTTCTAACTGCCCCTGAACCGAACAGTTAGATGAGAAATGACACCTTTTTGGTTGTGATTGCTTATGCACTTGCATTTGCCCTGGTTTTAAATGCATAGTCCCAGCAATCACGAATCCCAGTTTCGTTCCATGAAGTAGAGGCCATCCTTTACCTAATTCAACCTTCTCTGTGTCCAAAACGGACCAAAACACTGAAGCACCCAATAGCATATCGATCTTACCTGGTTCACCACAAGATGGATCCGCCAATTTAATGTTTTCAGGTAAATTAAGTGATTTTAAATCAATACTAACCGAAGGAATGTTGTTAGAAATCTCATCGATTACCAGAAACCCCACTTCAGCATTATATTGCGAATGAGTCGAATAAATCCTTGCAACTACCGAGTGATCAATACTCATGGTTTCGGGCCCTATACCCATAATTGAACTGTTTATCCTTTTCATTGGAAGCCTCAATATATCACGAAACGCCTTGGTCACGAATGAAGACTGTGACCCGCAGTCTAACAACGCCCTACACTCATGCCATTTACCTTCTATATCCTTAACCCTTACAACTGCAGTAGACAAGAGAACCTCCGTAATTTCCTTTTTTACACCTTGCATCTCGAGACCTTTATCTTCACTACTATGACCGTTAAATACCTTTGAGCCACCTCCTTCCGCTGCGCCTTCCTTGGAATCCCGAGTTTCCTTACCTGTGTGCTGATTATCATGCAGCAGAAGATGATGTTTCCCTTTACAACGCCTACAACCTCCAGATGTACATGCATGCACCCTATGTCCCAGTTTGAGACATTTCCAACAAGCATTTGACCTTGACACCACTCCCCTCTTGTCCTCCAACGACATATCCAAAAATTGTTTACATTGCTGTAAACAATGTTCATCTGCCTTACAAAGTATGCAACTAAATGTTTTAGTTGTAGATCGGGGAGGGGGTAGGTGAGGTTTCCCTTTCCCTTGGTCATCAGTATTTGAAGATCTGATATTGGTTTCCCATACTGCACATTTGTTTACCAAAAATTTAAAAAAATCATCCATCGTAGCAAATTTATCGACCGAACCTTGTTTTTGCCACTCCTTCCTGGTAATAGGATCCAATTTCGATTCAAGCAAGTAAATTAGTATTGGATCCCAGTGTTCTACGCCTAAACCCAAAGTTTTGAGTGCCCTCAAATCCTTACGCAGCTCATCTAACATTTTCCTTAACCCGGAATGAGACTCCTTGGTAAGACCCGGTACATTGCAAATAGAGTCAATATGACTAAGAGCGATTAACTTTTTATTTTCAAACCTTTCCTTTAAAAGGTCCCATGCAACCTGATAATTTTCTGAAGACACCTCTAAAGAATGGATCACATCAGCCGCCGTACCCTTAAGCGCCCCTTTTAGATAATAAAATTTTTGAATATTAGTTAAAGACAAATTCGAATCTACTAAGGACTTAAAAGAATCGTGAAATTCCAACCACTGCTTGTATGAACCATAAAAGTTAGGTACTTCCATTGGTGGAAGACGTACTTCCGTTCTTGGAGCAGTTGAGTCCTGTGTACTCCCACCGTGCGCAAGCAAATTTAGGCGACCAAGAATGTCAAAATACTTTGTACCAAAATCATCGCGTTCAGCCACTTGCTCATCCGAATTATCCAGGTCCTCGATTTCGTCCTGGATGCTTTCAAATTCATCCCACCACGCCTCCGCTCTTTTAAGACGTATCGAAATCTCATGATGCTTAGAGGAGTCATAATTCTGAATAAAAGTTTCTAACCGTGTAAGCTGCCCTTTAATATTTCCCCTTTTTCGAGTCAATTTAGCTAGATCAGTCATCTTGACCCTTTACCTTAACCTTTACCTTAAAACCTTAACCTTTACCTTAAAAACCCTTATGAATGTTTACCTTACCCTTAAATTATCCTTAAATCTGACACAGATTCTTAACCCAAGTGCGCTGTCTTTACAAACCGTCCCTTACAAATATAAAACACAAATCAATTTAATAACTTACAAAAATAATAAAAAGAAATGGTACGTAAATTTGGAAAAACTGGACTTATAAATAACAAAATCTATTTAGAATTTAACCTTTTGTCCACCTTAATAACAAAAATACAAACAATAATTAATTTAATGCACAAAATAATAATAAAATGCACAATAAAACAATTATGTGTACCAAATACATCAAAAGTAAATACTTATTTGTCAACTAAATCAACCATAAATATCTGTTTTTCGAATAAATCAAGCAAAAAATATTTATTTTGTCAAATAAGCCAAACGAAAAATATTTATTTTGACAAATATAAATCAAAGCAAAAATATATAAAATTAAAATTGCTCACCCTGTTGCGCACTGCACCTACCTCGGTAAGTATCCAATCTGTGTAGATAACCTTCAAATCTTCTTAAATGTCCTTAAACCTTAAATTTCCTTAAACCATATAAATGTCCCTTGACCTTCCTTAAATTCCCTTAACTTTCCTTAAAATGAGTATTAGCCTGGTAGTCCTTAAAGTCACTGTATTATTTGTATTTCCTTGATGCACTGACCTGTTCCTTTTCTTCGATAAATGTAGCCTTGTAGCCGTATCCTTTCCTTAATTGGACTTTTCCAATTATCCGGCTCGAAGGACCATAAATGGAGCGTCTTTTTCAATGATGTTTACCTTTTATATACAGCTACAGACAATAAATCGAGTATCTTTGTCAATATGGTCTTTATTTCTAATTTACTAAATAACACGACAACAGAAAAATGGTAGTGCGATGCACTCCCCCTTAAACACCAAGCAATACTAAGTTTTTGTAAGCTTTTCGGCTGCGCTGTGGGCCTACGTGACTTCTGCCTTCTGCCAGCGACGCGCTCCCCGCCGGCGGCGATCAAGGTCCTGCGCTAAGGCCTTGTACGCATCGTACGTCGTACGGCTTTCAAAAACCCAACACCATACATACCATATATAAACCTTACGACTTTACTGTAAAATCAATAGGGGAGCCAATATTTGAACAGTTCAAAGTTTGCATGGAATTTCCTATGTTTCCAATGACGCTGCACCACCCGGTATATGTTTATATGCAGGTGCTTGGTAGCAGTGAGTAGATTAAACTCGTTTTTGTGGACCAGTGATAAAAGGCAGCCAGGAACAATGAAAAGAAATGCTATATTTCTAAGCTTTTATCGACTAAATTTTTCATGAACGCCAAGTGTTTCAAATCAAAATCAAAAGCTTTTGTTTGTATCATTGTTGATTGGCATTTTTCTTTTTGATATACCATTCTGCAGAATTTGAAGATCATTCATTTATTCAGAAATCAGGTAAGAATTTTATCGATGCGCGATGTATGAAACCGGTAACTTTTTATTTTATATACAAGATGTCGTTAAGTATGGTTGAAAAGGAAAAGAAATCTAAACATTTGTTTTTTCCTGCTCTTATTAATGGGTTAGGAATTAGCGCCGATGTACTCAAGTTTCAACATAAACTTTATCAATGTGCTCAATTTCACTCGTTATTCTTACATCGATACTGATTGACATAAAAATTATGTTGATTTGTGTATACTTTTTATTTTATTTAATACTTTAATATATGCCATTTAAATAGAGCCCCTATTGAGCAATTTAGAGGATCAGTATCTTATTTAAATTAATAATATTTTGAATGTTAAATATTTTCCTATACACTGGCAACGTCGCTAAATTTTGCAAAAGCGCTCTGGGTGCGTGTTAGGCCTATTTTATGGTTTTCTCGTCTGCTTTGAAGAGGGTGTGTGCCTCCAAAAAACGCCCAATACTCTTCCCCTTATTTCTAGGCCGCTCTGGAATGATAAATGTGTCTGCCTGTGTCTGAGGTCATTTCCAACTTCCGATTATGTATAAAATGTAGAATATGAAACGGAACGGTATACTTATGTCATAAAAATATTATTAAATGTGTAAAAATAAATATAAATATTTTTATCTGTTATTTTGAACTGTTATTTAATAATAACAGTTCATAATAACAGATTTCTACTGCTTATTGATTTTGTTGTTATGCAGTTAAATAATAAAAAAACGTTAAAAGATAAAAAAAACGGTATGTGTTAATACAAAACAAACAAGATAAAAAAAACACATACCAAAAAATATAGAAAAGAACTGTTACTTACCTTGAAAGTAACACCCTTCCCCCATTTATTATTATATTTATCAATATAACTTATGTACAAATACAAATTTGTAATATTCCACAGGAATAAATAAAACAACAATTATTTACCAAACTTACCAAATTTTATACCTTAAAGGTTGATTAATTAACTTTAATCTTAATTTTTTTAAACCAGTACCTTTTGACATTATTTTTCTGCATTACTAAAATCCATTATTTACCTATCGTGTGATGTCGTTATATGTTTAGTACGATCCTTGTACCATATACGAGATGCACTTATCTATGACGAGATGAGATGGTATACAAACATTATTGATGGTAACTTTGCTGGTGTGTAAGACTTTCTCCCTGGGCACCGAGTGTTAACTATAAACCGTGCTCTGGGTCTACAGTTAATGTAAGTCCATGTATGTTTTATTTGTAATTTTAATGACGTAATTTTTTTTGAGTTGATTTGTATTGTATCATTTTTTTTTTGTTATTTGTATATATTTTTTTGTGTTTTTGTTTGTTGTGTACATGCTTTGTCGATGAAGCTATTTTGGCTTTTTGTATAATAAAGCGTTGTTTATTATTATATATTATTATTATTAATTTTCCCTCGATTTTTTTTGCCTCAAAAATCTAAAGGCGAATTCATACGCATCGACGTCCATTTGTCGTCTATCGTTCCGTCAAACCAATAAAATTGAAATATGATGTCATTTTTGAAATAAACCAATAAAACTGGTTTAAAACAACGAGAGACGACGCATGACGGATTTATATTTAAGCCCATCCATAGTTAACTTAAAAAATATTAGAAACTTTTTTAGTAAAATAAATAGATTGGTATGGACGTCATCTGCTTTTCTCCTGTCGAAATCTTACCTGAGAAAAAAAACAGAGTATAGTAATGTTCATCAATTAGAATAATGAGAAAATAAGCATATGTGTAGTTGTAACAAATTTCTACTCTTTGGCTATAGTTTGTATTTTACAATACACACATTGTTCAATATGAATTTGTAAGGCGTGCCCCCTCGCATGTTCCGTCGAATACATTTGAACACCGGTAGTTACGTCACTGACCAAAACAGTTTTACTTTTAAACATCTGCATTATATCCCTGGTTTTCTTTGAACGTCTGGTTTTCTTTGAACATCAGTTTCAACATATGATTTAAAACCGCCCAATGAAAATGCACACAGCATCGAGCAAGCGTAGAAAACTTCTGGCAACCCATGGATAGACTTACTTGGGAAATTACACCGTTTAAATTCTATATCTATCCTCCAATATCCGAACAAAAATTTATACGGTTCCTGCAGTATATTCAATAAAATAAAATATAACTCTATATTTACATATATTTTTTGTTTTTACTCTTGGCTTTAGGTCGTTGGGGTTGCAAAGATGTTTCTAGATTTTGTTCATTATTTTTTTATTTTATGACGACGTTTCGACAGTATATGTCTTTTTCAAGCCTCTTGAACGTAGATTCTTACAGAGTTAAAATTTGTTAAAACTGGACAACACAATAACACATATTAACTATTGTTTTAATTGTTTTTGGACATCACACTTTACTATAGAGCACGTACGTATTTCCTAGCAGATCGCTCTTTATATCTCTATGATCTCTATCTATGATTTACATATATTGCCTACTTATCTTAATCTGATCTTTGAGAACTTTATTTATATTTTGGCATACGCCTGGTATTATTTTTGAAATGCTTTGCTTGGAAACTTTGATTTGTGCTGTCTGCGGTGTATAAGGTTAGTTATAAGGGAAAAACAAATGTAGGAATCTGTATGGTTGCCAATGACTCTAAATGTCACCTCAGTCTAATCCCGGTGCAATGTCGTTTTTTTTTCAACATTTTTGTCAGGTATTATAAAAGAACGACCTATTTGAAATCGTTTGATTTGGTTTAGTTTGGAAAAACAAACGAGAATATGTACTCTCGTTTGTTTTTCTGAGAATTTAGAAAAGGATTAAACTGTCAAGCTATCAAATGGTTGCAGTGTGCCGGTGACTCAAGTTTAAAAGAACAAAACCTATTTGTTTTCGTTCCTTTATTTGTACTGCTAAAAGCGTTAACCCGACTCCGTAACAGCTCAGGTCCAAAGACCCCCAATTCTAAACGGAATTACGTGTGTGCCGAAAAGAGCACACCTCGCTCTTTTCACCGAATCCGACCAATCCCCTTGCGTTACGTGACGTAGCTGTCACTCCCAGCGCTGGTATCGTCGTCCCACGTGACAACGCCGCGCCGCCTCCTCCCATAGCGGCGTCGGCGGTTTTGATCGATCGGCCGCCGCCAACGTCGGCCGGCGTCGGTCGTATCGAGCGGCGGCCGTGGGGCAGGTTATTCCAGGGTCAAGGTCGGGAGAGCCGAGCCGCCGCCCCTTCGAGCGCCTCCAAGCCTAGAGAAACAGGCCTCTTCCCCTCTCTTCCTTGCCACACACCAAAATTGTTTTCGCCGAATTTTATAAAATATTTAGTAGGAATATAAATATCCACAAATCAATGAAATCTTTTTGTTTACTATTCGGTATGTTGTTTCATAGATATGGGACTGACAATTAGGGCTGGTAAGTTTTATTGCCTAACAACGCGACCTTAGACTTTGCTAAGAATGCAATCCCATCAAAAACATAGAATGTAAAAAAATGCCAAGTCTC